TCCGAAGCCAGGAGCCAGGTGTCTAAACAGAATTTAAAAGCAGCAATGAACAGATATGATAAAGTATTTTTATTTATTTTCATTTTATTTGGACAGCAGAGAGAGAGAGATAAACAAATCTTCCATGGGCTGGTTCACTCTCCAGATGTCCACAACAGCTAAGACTGGGCCAGGCCAAGGCCAAGAGTTCAGAACTCAATCGGGGTCTCCCACATGAGTGCAGGGACTCAAGTAATTGAGCCATCATTTAGTGCCTCCCAATGTGTGCTTTATCAGAAACCTGGAATCAGAAGACGAGCCAGGACTGGTACACACTGGAACCAATACCAATGGTAGGAGTCCCAACTGCTGTGCCAAATGCCTGCCCCAATAAAGTACATAGGATCTAGGTGGCAAGTATATGGGTATTCACTGTAAAATTCTTTTAGCCTGCGAGTATGTTTGAAAACTTCAATACTTTATATTTCAAGTTAATTTTAGTACTGTTGCTCCCTAAGATCACTAAATTTTCAATAGAAACAAATGTGATTTGGTTGAGAATATTACCCTTTCCATTCTTTATTTCTGAAAGCATGCATGTGCTGATGAACACTGTCTGAAGACAGACCCTAACTACCCCAGGACCCATTCAATGCCTCATGAGAGCCATGATTACTACCCATGGGAGCCACCACACTGACCAGCATGAGAGCAGATTCAATTCCACCACCCAAGCCAACAGCTCAAGGCACTCCCTGCACCTCTTCCCTGCCTGTACTTGAAACCTAGAATGACCTCACATGCTAAACCTAGGAAAATCATAAAGTACAATGAAATCCATGGAAGCATACTCATTCTGAAGTGTGGCTAGACTACTGTTGCTAGTAATCTAACAAAATGACTTTAAGAGTTGGGGCTGTTTGTGTTCTAAAACTCTTTTTAATCCACTTTGTCTTCTTCAGAACTGAGGTCTAAAGCTTCTTTTTTATCATCTGCAAAGTAAAGAAAAACATGGAGAGCTCAAAGTACAGGAAGTTGTCCCTAACAGCTTCTGTCCCAAAGGTTTATCATTCCTTTGAAAACATGTCTGTACTGGGGCCGGCACTGTGGCGGAGCATGCGGAGCCTCTGCCTGCGGTGCCCGCGTCTCATGTGAGCATTGGTTGAGTCCTGGCTGGTCCTCTTCCTATCCTGCTCTCTACCTATGGCCTGCGAAAGTGGTGGAAGAGGCCCAAGTGCTTGGGCTCCTGCACCCACGTGGGAGACCAGGAAGAAGCTCCTGGCTTTGGATTGGCCCAGCTCTGGCCCTGAAAACCACTTGAGGAGTGAACCAGCAGATGCAAGACCTTTCTGTCTCTCTCTCTCTCTCTGTATAGAGCTCTGCTTCTCAAATAAATAAAATCTTAAAAATAAATAAGAGGAATTAAGAATACAATAAAACACATCAAGTTAAAAAAAAATTAAAATAAATAAGAAGAAAACATATTTGTTCTAATTAACATCTTTATACCAGAGTTTCTATGGAAAAATTGCACTCCATTTTTCAATTTACAACTTCCTGCCCTACCAAAAAGGCATCTGCTGCTTTTTTGGTAAATGCAGCCAAAACCCAAGACTCATAATTCTCTATAGGGAGGACCCACTTTAACGTGTGAAAGCAGGAAAAGACAGTGCTCTATACTAAAAGGGAGCTTTCCCAGAAAAATCTACGACAATTTAACAAGATATCAGTTATCGAAAAGGTAGACCTGGCTTACTTAATATAAGTGTATTAATAGTTACAACAAAAACATAAAAATTACACTGTGCTCCCAATAAAAAAGGTACAGTTAGGCACTGTTAAACTAGTTGATCAACCAAGTGTTTGGCAAGTAAAACAGTCTCAAACTGCTTCCTCATGTCTGATCAACTCACCTGAGAGGAAAACTCCTAAAGTGGCGAGACTGTAACACCGCTAAATTCTAACACTGCTAAATTCTGAAAACGGGCAGTGTTCAATAAACATATTCAACATCATATGCCACCCCTTTATAACAACAGCTGGTAAGATTTACAAAATAACTTGGGTGACACATTTTAACAAGTATAACATTAAGACTTACACAATACAAGAACAACTGTAAAAATTGCACAAACAACTCACAAAGTTAGAAAAACTTCTCACTAAAGACTTTAGAAATGAAACCTGTGAGAGACATGGAAAAGGGGATTTGGGAAAGTGTGAGTAAGCCTGCACAACTTAGTTTGTGCACACAAAACTTAAGAGAAATAGTTAAATATCATTAAAGGTGTATGCCACTGCTACATGATAAAATGGTAATCTGAGCACCTCTCATATAGCACACACACTAAAATGTCAGACTTCAGACCAGTTAAACTGTTAGTACTATTAGTAAGCTTAGGAGAAAAACTGCTTTAGAAATCCCAAGATGTTAGGCAATCTACACACCCTCAATTTTAAATTCCAACAGGAATGATTATAAGAATGAGATGAGAAGAATGAACGACATGTCTAACCACCTAAGCTCTTCAAAAAAAAAGGGGGGGGCTGAGGAGTACTTTTTGGGATCTGAAACCTGATTGTTTCACAAGTCACCCAAATCAGGCATCACATTAGATTCATACTGACAAACCTCCATTCACAGCAAGGTACAGGGACAGATCTCAGTCCATAAATATTTTTCTTACTAACCAGAATTACGTAACATTATGAGTATAACCATTTAATCAAGAATGAATAAATGGGGGCTAGTGCTGCGGTATAGTGGATAAAGCCGCCTGCAGTGCCGGCATCCCATATGGGCGCTGGTTCGAGTCCCGGCTGCTCCACTTCCAATCCAGCTCTCTGCTATGGCCTGAGAAAGCAGACGATGGCAAGTCCTTGGACCCCTGCACCCTCGTGGGAGACCCGGAAGAATCCTCTGGCTCTGGATCAGCCCAGCTCCAGCTGTTGCGGCCATTTGGGAGTGAACCAGTGGATGGAAGACTTCTCCCTCTCTGCCTCCTTCTCTATGTAACTCTGACTTTCAAATAAATCTTTAAAAAAAATGTAAACATTAAAATATGTAATATTATCAATATGAATACCTAAATAGTCCTTTAAGGCTAAAGAGACAGATGTACTTTTAGGTGCATATATATGAATTAGCATTCAAATGGTACAGACTTAGAGGAGGAACCAGAAATGTGTTTTCATACATAGAAATTTAGCAGTGAAACATTTTCTGTGAATGAATGAGTATGTCCTCCAAGGATATTCTTGAAACTGATGAAATCCACGTTTAGTTCTTAGCCGTGTGCTCTTTAAGAAAATTTAGATATATATTTACATTATCCATTTAACAACCAGGTAAACCCTGTCATGATTACCTTATGCAGTTTTAGTCTTGAGCTCTGGTTGACCTGATGCAGATTTGTAACCTTCCTTCAAAATAAGGGAAAGATGACAAAAACCATATCCTCATTCATCTGTGAATTTTTCTGCAATCTTTAATTTCAGCCTCAAAGTTAAATTAAACAGTAGCTAGTCTTCCACTTGTAAAAATGGTAGTCTTTGAAAATTCACAATTTTTTTGTTACCCAAAATGTTTGGTCAACCATACACTTCTGTTGTAATTTGGAAAGACAGAACTTTCTCTGTTCTCACTGTTCAGTAAACACTAGCAGTTTTTCACTTTCTAGTTCCAATTTCATTTTTATCTAATTTGCTTAAGTGTTTTAATGCCAAAACTACACAGAATACTGTGTTTCATTAACAGGTTTCAGAGGTATTCTTAGGCTCACAAATACTCCACATTAATATATTTTCTTCTGTGATTCCAAGTAATATAAATCTTATTAAACAAAGTGTTAAAAAAAAAAAACAAGCCTCAAAAAAAGAGGGATTAAAGACATTAAAGACATCTTGGGAAGAATGTCACAGTAATTAACTGTTTATCCAAACTGAACCCTCTGGTGTTCACTGGATGTTGCGGTATCAATTTTTCTCTCCATAACAGCAGACGGTAACTCCGGCATGTTAATAGATGGGTAACTCACTCCAAAACATCTATAGATTTAGTTACTCTCAAGAGCGGTCTCTCTAGTTCAAATGCTGAAACAAAGCTCCTAAAGTTTCGTTACGTCTAATGAAAGGGAGTGCGGCGAGCTCAAGGCTGACAGGGTAACTAGTTCAGGAGGCATACTCCCAGGTGGGGAAAACTTAACGTGGGCTGGGGAGAGCGAAGGCAGCCTTGCTACCGAGCTAGCGCACGGAGCAGCGGGGTGTCCACACTGGCTCGGGGCCGCGTCCTACCGACACCACGCAGGTCTCGCGCACGGGGAGGGGGAACCCTGGGGATCGGATACACGGCGCTGCAGTCGGTTCTCTAGCCCACAACCGTCCTGCAGCGGCCAATACAGGAACTAATGCAATGCTTTCGGATCGCGTGCACAGCACACGGAGGGCTGCAGTCGGGCCAACAGAGTCCTGATCCTGCTCTGCACAGCAACCCAAGATGATTGTGGAACACCGAAGTGCTGAGCGCACTTAAGGCCCTGGGGGAAAACAAAACAAAACACAAAAAAAGCCACTCTTGAAAATACCTAATGCTGGATAAATACGAGTCGCCGGCTTTCGGATCACTTTCAGGGGTATTATTTCCTCGCCTCCGCCGCCACCCTCTCCGCTTCCCGTCTCGCACCAGGGGAGCAGCACAGCCCCGCAGCGCGCGGGGCTCCGACCCCTCCGCACTCCCCTCCAGCGGGCACCGGGGCAGCCCCCGGGCCGATCCCACCCGGCGCAGCACGGACCGCGCGAGCCGCGGGCGGGGAGGCGGCCACGAGTCCGCCGAGCAGCGAGCTGCCCGCCGGCGCCCGCCCCGGCCCGGCTCGGCCCGGCCGGGGGTCTCGGCGCCGCCGCGAGACCACCCCCCCACCCCCTGCCCCGCCTCGGGGCAAACTTCGCCCACGGGCAGGGGGCGCGCCGGCGGCTCCGGGACGCGGGCGGGGGTCCCGGGCGGGGGAGGGGCGGCGGGCACTCACCACGGGTCGAACTCGTGGATGATGCTCTCGAAGCGGATGACGGCGAAGAGGCGCGAGCTGAAGCCGGCCAGCCAGGCCAGGAAGAGGATGGTGAACGACAGCAGCGACTGCCAGCCGGCCGGCTGCGACAGCCCCCCGGACAGCCCCGCGGGGGCCGGCTTCGCGGGCGCCGCGCCGCCCGCCGCCTTGTGCGCGCACTGGGCCCCGGGCCCGTGGGGGCCCTGCCGGCTGTTCCCCAGGGCCATGAGGCCGCTCCACGGGGACGAGTTGAGGGACGACTTGTGCTTGCTCTCCGGGGCCGAGGGCTCCGCCATGTTGTGCCCCGGCGGCGGGTCTCGCTGGCCGCCGCCGCCGCTGCCGCCGCTGCCGCCGCCGCCGCCTGGTGCGAGGGCTGCTGGGCGGGGACCCGAGGAGGAGGAGAGGAGGAGGAGGAGGAGGAGGAGGAAGAAAAAAAAAAAAAAAAAAGAGGCGGAGGGAAGCGCTCTGCGCGCTCCCGCCCTCAGCGCCGCGAGGCCGGGGGACGGGGGGTGGAGGCGGCGGCGAGGAGTCTCCGCCTCAGCTGCGGCCGCGACCGCCGCGCGCTCGACCCGGATGGCCCCCGCGCCCCACTAGCCATCCGTATGCCCGGCGCGGCGGCGAGAGCCGGCGGGACGAGGGCGCCCGAGGAGGGAGAGCGGCAGTCGGAGGCGGCACCGCGGCCCGGAGAGGCAATGACATTCCCCCTCCCGCCCGCCGTCCGCCCCGCCGACAGGAGCAGGGGGAGGAGCGCCCTGGGGCCGGGCGGGGCTCGGCCAGCCTCTGGCTCCGCCCCCCGCCCAGCAGGAACTGGCCCCTCCGCCTGTCACAAAGCGACAGGTCCGTTAGGGGGCGGGCCCAGAGCCGCCGCGCCCGCCAATGGGGCCGCGAGCTGAGGCGGCGCGGGCCCCCGCCCGCCTCCTCCTCAACCGCCCGCCCCCTCCCCCTCCAGGCCTCGCGCCCATTCGCCCCGAGCCGCCGAGCGGCGCGGCCGCGCCTGCTTTGTCAGTTGAAAGCCGCGGTTTCGCGCGCCTCCGCCCGGAAGGGCGCCGGGCGACTCCGCTCGCCTCATGGAGCTCAGAGGCCGGGAGGCGTTCAAGAACAGCGCGGGGCGGCCTCCGTCAGACTCGGCTTAAGGGGCTCGCAGAGAGAGCCGAGGCGGCCGGCCGGGCGCTCGCCGCCTCTCGGCGGGCGTGACTTTTAACCCGCTTTGCGCGCCGCGGGCCCCCCGCCACGTGACCGGGCGCGCAGGCGCAGTGCGCGGGGCGCGGGGCTGCACGCCGGGCTCGGCCGCCCGGGGCGCTCGGCCGCCGGCGCGGGGTGCGCGGGGTCTGCCCGAGGGTGCGAGCGTCCGGCCGAGGGCTGCGTTCCCGGCGCCCAAACTTGGGGCTCCTGGAGGACCTAGCGGGGCCGGCGGAAGGCGACCTGCTGTCGGCTCTTCCCGCCTCCCGAGCCTCGCTCGTTCCTGAAGTAACGAGTCGCCGGACTCGGAGCGGAGCGGGTCCCAGGGGCGTGGGGGAGTGGGCAGTCGCCGGACTGGGGCAAAGCGGGTCCCAGGGGCGTGGGGCCGTGGGGGAGTGGGAGGTCGCCGGACTCGGGGCGGAGCGGGCCGTGGGGGAGTGGGAGGTCGCCGGACTCGGGGCGGAGCGGGGCGTGGGGGCGTGGGAGGTCGCGGGGCGGCCGGGTCCTAGGGCCGTGGGGGAGTGGGAAGTCACCCGACTCCGGGCGGAGCGGGTTCTAGGGCCGTGGGGGAGTGGGAAGTCGCGGGGCGGAGCGGGTCCCAGGGTCGTGGGGGACTGGGAAGCCCCGGGGCGGCCTGGGCGGAGCTCCCGGTAAACCCTGGGTCAACTTCGGAAGATAGTTCCCTTGTCCATTCTCTTAGGTCGGTGGCATCTGCATTTAAAGGGGTGTTTAGAAGGGCACTCTATTAAGTCACTCAAGTTTCCCTCTTTACAACGGGTATAAAGAATTGAGGTTTTATTTTTTTATTAATAAATGTGAATTTACAAAGTGCAACTTTTGTATTGTTGTGGCTTCCCCCCCACCTCCCTCTCTCCCGCGGCCCTCCCCCTCCCACTCCTTCTCCCATCCCGCCCTTCATCGAGTTTCATTTTCAATCACCTTCATATACTGAAGATCAACTTAGTATACACTAAGCAAGGATTTCAACAGGCTGCCCTCACACAACCGCACAAGGTATAGGGTATTGTTCGACTAGTAGTGTTGTTTTAAGTTTCATAGTTAAACACACTAAGGACAGAGATCCTACGTGGGGAGCATGTACCCAGTGACTCCCATTGTAGATTTAACAATTGGCACTCTTATTTATGACGTCAGCAATCACCCGAGACACTTGCTATGAGCTGTCTAGGCTATGGAAGCCCTTGAGTTCACCGACTCTGAACTTGTTTAGTCAAGGCCGTATCACAGTGGAGGTTCCTTCCTCCCTTCAGAGAAAGGCGCCTCTCTCCTTGATGGCCTGATCCTTCTGCTGGGGTCTTGTCCACCAGGATCTTTCATTTAGGTTGTTTTTTGCCACCGTGTCATGGCTTCCCATGCCTGTGAGACTCAAGAATTGAGATTTTCAAACGGGTAGACAAATATATCTACTTTGACGCTGCTTTTCGAAGGTAGTGGGTCCATCCACTTTTTTTTTAAGATGTATTTATTGGGGGAGAGAGAGGTCTTCCCTCTGCTGGTTCACTCCCCAAATGGCTGCACTGGCGGGAGCTGGATGATCAGGAGCTTCTCCTGGGTCCCCCACGCAGGTGCAGGGCCCCCAAGGACTTGGGCCATCTTCTGCTTTCCCAGGCCACAGCAGAGAGCTGGATCCCAAGTGGAGCAGCCAGGACGCGAACCGGCGCCCAAATGGGATGCTGGTGCCTGCAGGCGGTGGCTTCATACACTCTTAACCTGTTGTTAACTTTTCTCTGGCTTCCTTACAAAAATTAAAGAAATGTTCTACTTAAGGGAAGCATGAAAAGGTTTCCAGAAATTGACTTTCTCACCAACAATCTAATAGGCGTTTATTGAACATCTAAATTTTAATGGGAAATAGGTAGAATATTAACTGGTCCGTGTTAGAGAGAGCTGACATGCCTTTTTGCAGAGCCCAGACGGTACATGCTAAAGTGACAGCATTTACAGCATTTTCTTTTTGCCCTTGTTCAACCTAAAATAACAATTTTTAGGTGTTTTAATGTATTGGGATATTTCTGTTTTACCGCTTCATTTGTAGGTACTACCTATTAAGTTCTATATTGGAAAATTGTTAAGGAAGGGCTGGCTGGCATTGCGGCGTGGCGGGTTAAGCTGCTGCCTGCAGTGCCGGCATCCCCTGTGGGCGGCATTTCAGTCCTAGCTGCTCCGCTTCCGATCCAGCTCCCTGTTATGTGTCCCAGAGAGCAACGGAATATGGCGCAAGTCCTTGAGCGCCTGCACCTTCGGGCTCCTGGCTCCTGGCTCCTGACTGGGGCATGGCCCAGCCCTGGCTATTGGGGCCATTTGGGGAGTGAACCAGTGGGTGGAAGAGCTCTCTCTCTTACTCTCCCTCTCTCTGACTGTAACTCTGCCTTTCAAATAAATATTTAAAACAGCAACAAAAAGAAAATTGTTAAGGAACACATACAAAAGCAGATGAGAGTAAAAGCAATGTAAGACCCCTTTTATTCCTGAATTTCATTCATTCACACATTAATTCATTTATTAGCTCAGTCTTTGTGCTAAGCACTATGTAGGTTACCGAATAAGTTGGAATTCAACAGGATACAAGATGAGAGACATGGTTCCTGCCCTCACTGGCAGCCCCTAGGGAGGTGGCGTGTCACCCAAATCATCACACTGTTAGGAACTGAAATGCAAGGGGACCCACACTCTGGAGGAGGGCATGGAAGAGTTGATCCACGTGAAGACGGGAAATGTCCCGAGGAAGCAGCACAGGGATGTGGAAAAAGAACGGAAAGAGTTGCAGAGACAGAAGCACAGGCCAAGGCCCTGCAGAGGGGCAGGGAGGCGAGCAAGCCAGGAACCCAGAACAGGGCCGGTACGGCTGCAGCACAGAGTGGACCGAGGTGCGTTGGGGGAAAACTGCCCACAGCGTGCTGGTCAAGCTAGGAAGCGTTTCTGCTTGGTTTTCAGTTGCGAGTACTGGGAAGCAGGATGCAGTGTGGAGATGGAGTGCAATGTGGGAAGCACTTTGTAGAGAGCGAACTCAGCAGTCTACCTGAGATTTCAGAGTTGACTTGTGAGGAATGTGATTGTGGAACCCCTAAGGAACTCAGATAGCGACATTGTGACATCACAATTCCAAGCCCTCCAGTGTGGAAAAAGGGTTTTCATTTTGTGCATGAAGCTTGGGTGAGTTTGCCTCTCTGCGTGTATGGCTTTTGATTCTGCTAGGAGTCTAAAACGTCCTCCCTGAGTTCAGATCTCTTGGGAGTCAGAGAATCAGACACTAACGGTGTACTGTGGTGAACAGAGTGCTTGTGACATCATAGGCCCAGCTCTACTTCCAGATTTCCAAGGAGAGGCAGCATTTGAGTTGGAACTTGGAGGATGAGCAGAAGGTCATGAGATACACCTGGGAAGAGGGAGGTGGGGATTCCACGCAGGAGCAAAGTTCTTCAAATGAATACACAACATGTAATGTTAATGACAATGCATTGGGAGAGGAGTGTGAAAGCGAGATAAGAAGCAGATTATCAAGGACTTGTTTGCCTAGTTAAGGAGTTTAGGTATCAGCCCCTAAGCAGGTGGGAGCTGCTGAAGCATTTTCAACATGATCAGATTGGATGATGCAAAAAAAACATTTTGACAGCAGTATGAAGGATGAAGTATGAAGGGTGCAAATAGAACCAGAGAGACTAGTAAGGAGGCATTTGCAGAAGTTTAGGCAACAGATGGAGGTGCCTAACCTGGGATGGTGGGACCCAGAGAACCGGACAGGTCAAAGAGGTGTCTAGAGAACGGAAAGAAACTGATGGAAGGCCAAGGGGAAAGTAGGGCTTAGGACAAATGTAGCACATCTGGCCTGGCCATCGGGCTGTGAGGTGGTGTCTCAGAAGTGGGCACACAGGACAAGGAGCAGGTGTTGAGGGAAGCCGATCACTTTGGGACGTGTTTTATTCTAAGTCCCTGTGGCTCATCAAGAGGAAGTGGCTAACGGGCTCTTCTAGAGAGCTGAAGCTCAGGAGGAAGAGTCTGTCTAGAGATGAAAGTTTGGGACCCTGTGGCCATGGAGAAAATTTTGCTGGAATCAAAGAGAAAATAAGAGAAGGGTTGAAGAGAGAGCCCTAGGGAACACACAAATTAAGAAGCTTGAAGACGTGCCTTCAGGGAGCCCAAGATGGAGCCATCAAAGAGGTGGAGGAAGCTGCTGAGAGATGGCCCCCCCACCGTCACCGTACCCCACCCCCACCCCCCCACCCCCCCCACCCCGGCTAGGAAAGGGAAGTTCAGCCAGGGTTGCCAGACACGGAAGTGACGTGGACACTGTTGACAAGCGCACCTTCCTGTGGCACGCAAGGCTTCACCGGTTACCTCGGCAGGGCTGATTTTAGTGGAGTTGTCAGGGGCAGAAACCAGACAGCTGATGAGGAGGGATCAGGAGCCAAGGACTTGGAGGAGGGAGTCTTTCTAGAAGGCTGTCTCTGGACGCACACGCAAAAACAAACACGACCAAGAAAAGACTAAATTATCGACGCGTGGTCAGGCCTGAGCGAGGGTTCTGACTCCCACAGAGACACACAGCAGGACGCCTCCTGGGGGACACGCCGCGCTGCGGGGTCTGGCAGCATCCAGCATAGGAGTGACTTTTACAGATGTCTGGTGACTGGGTAGACGAGTCAACTCTTGTATTGTCCCCTTCTGACAGACGTCTGCCAGAGCCCTGCCTGGTAGCCCCCGACACCAATAGATGAGAAAGAAGCAGAGAAAGGAAGCAGGCGGTGAGCCTGTGGACTCCTGGGCCCGCTGCTGAGAAGTGGTGTTGTGTGTGGGGGTGAGAGCACAGGCCTGGAGACAGCCTGCAGGTACCAAAGCCTGACTCCCCCCAACCCGCCCCAAGACACGCAGGTGCTGCACCTCTCTGAGCCTCGGTAGTCTCAGCTGGCGACAGTGTGGACAGGGATTGTACCCTCCTGGTGCGGCTGTAATAAGGAACAGATGGATAAATAGAACAGTGCCCAGCACAAAGGAAGCCCTCGCATGCATTTTGGTTATGAGGGACTACTGCCACACCCAGAACCGTGACAGTGACGCTGTGACAGAGAGGGTGTGACGCCTACTTCCCTGGATATCCTGAAAAGAATCTGTCAGAATGCTCCTGTGTCTTTCAACCGGAGAGCACCTGTTCCCTACTGTTCACTACTGTGGCATGCTGTTCCACTGCCATACCAGCTGGATGGACTAAGGGGCAGCTAAAGTGGGAAGGAAACCTTGGAGGATGAGTGAGGAAGGCAGCTGCTAAAATAGCTCGCAAGGATCCCTGACACCTGGTGGTCCTACTCTGCGTCATCCCCTCCACTTTGTGCTGGGCTGGCTCTAGAGATTGACTTTTACACAAAATATGCTGCAAAAGTGGTGCGATGTTCCTTTTTTTTTTTTTTAGATTTATGTTAGTTGAAAGGCAGCACAGCAGGGAAAGTGAGCGAGAGAGAGATCTTCCATTCACTGGTTCACTCCCCAAATGGCCGCAACAGCCAGGGCTAGGCGAGGCCAAAGTCTGGGGTCTGCCACATGGGTGGCAGGGGTCCAAGTACTCGGGCCATCATCCGCAACTTTCCCAGGCACATCAGCAGGAAGCTGGATCCAAAACAAAGTAGCTGGGACTCAAGCCGGCATCGCAAGTGGAGGCTTAACCCACTGCACCGCAACACTGGCCCAGGATGTCCTTTCTGAAATTAGGTTATTTAGAAAAATGGCCTCCCCGCCCCGCCCCGCCCCGCCCCGCCCCTTTTGCTTCTTCCTCTTCCTCTTGTTTATCTACTCTCCCTTCTCTCTCTCCTGTGCCTTTCTTTGCTGCTGTGTCTATCTTGCTCTTCCTGTCTCTCTCAGCTCTCTGGGGAAAGCAGGCAACCATATGAGGGGTCTTCAACAAGTTAATGGAAAATGCACATCATGAAAAAATGATGCATAGATTTGAAAGGTTTTACACCAAAACATCTTTAATTTCCATTTTTCTCTTTGAAGTCTTATGCTGTAGGCAGCTCTATAAAGAGGCCCCATATGGCAAGGAATGGTCATCTCTAGCCGTGAACCCATGAGGACCCACAGTTTGCCAGCAGCCACAGGAGTGAGCTTGTAAGCAGATGCTCAGTCATGCTTAAAGTGATTGCCACCTCAGATGACACCCTGATTGCAACCTAGGGACTCATCCTGAGTCAGGGGACTCAGAGGAGCTGCGTCCAGATTCCTGACCTCCAGAAACTGGGGGAAAAATAAAAGAAATCAGGGCTGACTATCCCAAGCCTGTAAGTTTGGAGTAATTTGTTACACAGCTGTGGGTAACTAATACAATGGGAATAAAGAGGACAAGGTGATCAGCAACCTTTATTTAGTTTCCTGGAAGTGTAGTAAATAACTTTCAAGGCTGGAACAGTCCCACTATGACCGCTGCGTTACTCTAAAGACACCCTGCAGAGTGTTCACCCACAAGACATGCTGAGAGAAAGAAAAGGAATATTCTCCTGATCTGGCAAGTCTACATGGTTTAGCTCCCCCTTTGGAAATGTATGGTGAACACATCCATCCTCCTGAATGCCCTGGAAAGTCCTACAGTGACTTGATCTAAGTCAGCATTGCCCAAATCTGTTTGACCCTGCAACCTGTTTTCCTCCCAACACCTATTAATAGACTGTGAAACATCCAGTCCTCAGAACGTATTTTAGAAACACTGTATGAGATTAGAATTGGCGCTTCAACCTCGGCTCTCAGAACGGGAAAGGCCTTTCATAGCAAGGAGCCCCAGACAGTTCATTACGAGTTGGATTCTGGGTCAACTCTTAGCGGTAATTCGGGTGACTGCTTCAAGCAAGTTGCTGTAGCTTCCTGCATGTACCTGTAATATACACGGTGCTACACGACTTTGAATCCCACACAGCACTGCAAGGCTGTGAAACTACAGAAGAGCAACCTAAAGTACAGGGAAGGGATCTCCCCTCTTCATTCACTGCTCCAGTCCCAGACCCCAGCCCTGCACCTGGCACATAGCAGTAACCTTTACTGAATGAATAACTGAGTCAGTGCACACCATGGTATCGTAATTGTGTTTTATTTGTTACGTACTAAGTTAATATAGCAACTAGGTAAAGTTATCCTCTTCCCCCCAAGTTGATATTCCCAAGTTCTCATGGAGAAAAATTTCTACAAATTTAACAGAGAACTTTGGATGAGAAGGGGTGAAATCAGTAAGGTACAGTATTGCAACATTAGGCAATATCTAAGTACTTTGGGAATCTGAGGATGATTAATACCTTCCAATTTAAAATCCCAGGGATCTACGTTTTGCAACTTTTTCTTTAAAGGGCCACGCAGTAAGTATTTCCCACTTTGTGGGCCAGACTGTCTCAGATAACTACTCAGCTCTGCTGGTGTAGCATGAAGGCAGTCATAGATAGTGTGTAAGGAAGTGGGCATGGCTGTTCTGCAATAAACACAGCCGTGCCCACAGGCCAGAGCTTGTCGACCTTGTGGGAGAGGAGTACGGTGATTACTGTGATCTAATCTTTCTCAAAATTCGATATAAGGCAGAAGATGTTCACCACAGCATTGCGAAGAACAAGAGCTTGTGTCTAGGCAGCCATCAAGGACATTGTCATAAATAATTAAAGGATTGCCTTGAAGTCTCAAAGAATAGGTCGGATTTTGTCAAATGATATGTGTGGGGTAGAAAGTGTGCATTAGGAGCATGGGAAAGGAAAACAAAGCCATGTAGGGGGTACTTGGTAATGAGCCAGTCATCTAGAGGAGAGATGCATTATCATAGTTTATTTGCTACCATTGAAAGAATGATACACTCTAGTCCCAAGATTTCAGGCCATAAAAGCTAACCAATGTGTATTTTAGTGTTTCTGAAAGTTCACATTTCTGAGTCCACTAATCCCATGGTTTCCTAAGAAGGAAGGTGTATCAGTTAGGCATGCATTTGGCCAGAAATAACAGAAGAGCCAATGAATAGTGACTTAGACAAATAGGGACTTATTCTCTCCCATAATACAAAATCCAGAGAGAGGTGGTTGATCCACAATGCGTCGGAGGGCTTCTGTGTTCACTCTCTTGCGTTTGATTGTGGTCAAGTCACCTTTGTGCCTTTCTACAGTCATCTCTGATTCTCATCTCTGCAGGGTTTGCCTGTAAGAGGAGCTCACTCCGAATTTGGAAGACAGAAAAAAATGGAGAAGTGGTTTCAGACAGACCCAGACAGAAGTGGTTTCAGATGGAGAATGAGCAAATGTAAGCTACGCAGCGTCTTTTTGACTAGTGTGGGAACCGCTGACGTAGTCGTTGTAGACTAAGGCTGTGTGATGATTGAGAACCGGTGCAGCTTCCTACAGAGCCTTTGCGAACTGCTGGCTTTGGTCCTTGAGACTGGGGTTTTTCATGTCCTTCCCTGACCCTGACCATCAGGCAGACACCTCCTTGATCTTTGGTCCCCATGGCCTTCCAGAAACCATGTAATAGTTTTGTATTATATCCTTTATTCCTGAAGTATCTAGAGTAGCCCTGTCTTCCCAGTTGAACCCAGCAACAGACGATTCTCTCATGCATTGTTTTTCATTCTCTTATTTTATGCTTCATTATTGTAAGATAATTGCTGCAGCTCCAGCCATCATATCAACGTTTGAGGAAGAAGGTTAGGAAAAGGGTGTGTGTGTGTGTGTGCCAATTGCATATGTCTTACTTTTTAAAGAAGAATTATTCTTCCAGAAATTACCTTAGAAGACCCTCCCTTAGTCCTCATTTGTACTCTCTGCCCCTCGCTATAATCATGTGGACTTTATAGTGCTCCAGGGTTACTGCTTCACTTCTTTTAGCACATCAGACTTTCCTGATAGTGCAAAGAAAGATCCAGAAACTGGGTTTCAGTGGCTCTGGCTGGCCTGGCTTCTATCATCTGCAAGTTTCTGACCAGGTGCCTTTGCCAAGAAGATAAGAAGCACTCATTGGCTTAAGCCACTCTGGTGAATGAGTTGAGTCAAGACTTGAAGAAAAATTGAGACACTGTTATAGGAAGGAAGTAAGGCTGGGTGAGGGAGGAGAAACACAGGATTCTCCACTACATTTAGGACGGAGAATGTTGGCAGGAATCTCAGTATAGTTATTTATTCTATAATGTGCATATTAGAATTAGCAACACCAGTCTAACATTTGAAGAATGCGTAAGGTACTTTAAGGAAGGGGGAGGTGGATGAGCTTCCTTATTCACTTGTAACATGGATGAGACCTGATACTCACCTAGAGCAGGCAGTGGCAAAGCTTTTCCATTAAAGGCCAAACAATAAACATGTTATTTTATTTATTCACTGTCTGATGAGATGAGTTTATTGCATTATCTACCAATATCAGTAAAGAGGTATCCCAAATAAACAATCTAATAACCTAACAGTATACCTCAACAAATTATAAAGAGATCTGAGCCAAAAGTTAGCAGAAGGAAAGAAACATCAAAGATCAAAGCAGATATTAATAGACAAGAAGATAATAAATACTGTCAATGGACCTGGTTTTTGAAAAGCTAAACTAAGCTAATACACCTTTATTAAGACTAAGAAAAAGGAGGAGTCAAACAAAACCAGAAAGGAAAGAGGAGACTTTATAATGGATAACAGAACAAAAATTATAAGACATTTTTATGAACAATTATTCACCAACATTGAAAATCTTGACTAGATACAATAGCAAACATTTTAGACTTTGAAGGCCAAATGGTTCAACCACTCTAATTTGCCATTATAAGTGAAAAGCAGCCAAAGACAATACATACTGGAGTGGCTGCTTTCCAATAAAACTTTTTTTGACCAAAATAGGTCACAAGTCAAATTGTTGCAGTTTGCCAACCACTGGACTAGGGCATTCTTTAGAGGTGATGCAAACTTGGGAGCCAAGATCTTTTGGTCTGTGCTCAATAACTGATTTTATTATTATTTACCATTATATTTTACTTAATTCCATACAAAGATAATACAAGGGTACTTCAAAAAGTAGAAAGTAGAAAGTTCTTCAAAAAGTAGAAAGATAGAATTCAAAGATAAGTTTATTTCAGTGCAAAAAATTTTAAATCCATGTATTGTTTTTTCATAGCATATGTTTTTCATGAACTATTTGAAGGCCCACCCCTCATATGCATGGATTTCAAAAATTGTTTGTAACAAAATAAACTTATCCTTCAATACCATTTTCCATGAACATTGAAGTACTCTTGTATATTTATTTTGAAGACTCTGCCTCCAACTCTATCTCTGATTCAAATACTTCCCTTTTCTTATCCTATAGGCAATCATTTTCATTATTTCCTCTTGTATCCTTTCTACTTTCTTTATGGAAATGCAAATACATCGGAACCTATTTTTTTTATTTTATTTCCCTATGCTCTGCACACTTTTCTCCATTTTGATTAACTTTTCTAAACATTTATCTTTAAGATAGTTCCAATTCCTCTCATAGAGAAATTTTTAACACAGATTTATTTATTTAGTTAATTGAGAGAGAGTGTGCTTTGCATCAGCTGGTTAACTCCCCTAAATGGCCACAATAGCTAGGGCTGGGCCAGACCAAAGCCAAAAACCAGGAATTCCATTCAGGACTCCCATGTGGGTGGCAGGGGCCCAAGCACTTGGACCATCTTCGGCTGCTTTTCCAGGCACATTAGCAGGAAGTTGGATCTGAAGTGGAGCAGGGGAGACTCGAACCAGCACTCCAACACGGGATACCAGCATTGCAAGCAGTGGCTTATCCCACTGTGCCACAACACTGACCCCATGTAGAAACTTTTTATGACTTCATGTTACTCCAAACGATTGCCCATTGGTGCATATTTGGGCTATTGCTAGTCTTTGCTATTTCCAACAAGGAAATGTCTTGGCTTGAGAAATTACAATGAATGAAATTTCATGTGAGTGCACCCATTTATAATTTCAGAAGATAAATAGTCTTTATATGGGATCATATGAAGTGCATCCCCACAGTGTGAGAGGCCCATATCCCAGGTCTCACCGACAGAATGTGTTAATGAAATACTGGCTTTTTGCCAATGAGTCAGGTGCAAGATTGTGGTTTTAATTTGCATTTCCCTTATTAGTGAGGCGGAAGGTACTTATTTAACGTTTAAGGCTGTCTTTTCACATCCTCAGTGAGGCAGAATTGCCATCACTGATTATATATTCTTAAGCATAATTATTGGAGTACTATGCTCCAATGTTATAGAAACCATTAACATGTATAGTTGCATTTGCTAGTTGCTCAGAAAATGAGATCATCTATATTAAATTCATGCAGATCTGTTCTTTAAAAAACCAACTCTCCCACTGTTCAATTTAGCATATCCCCTAGATTATCTCTTCTACATCATGTACCTCATGAAAGTGCCTTAGAAATAATGAAGGGATTTTTTTATGGTGTGTTAAGAAATTCAGATAAAAATGTTCTACAGATAAAGCAACTGTTAGCAAACACCTCCCCTGATAGACAAGTGATTGTTTCGTTTTGTTTTAATGTCATGGAGTTCGCACCTTGCAGATACGCAGCTCACCTGTCCACCTTTCCCTGAGCGTGTTATGAGCAGATGAATAAATAGGTCACATTAGCAATTAATACTTTCTTTGCATGCATTTCAACTATAATTACAGTGCTTCAGATCTATCACCTATCTTTACATATTTGCCATTTTTCACATATTAATCTAGGCAATCACAGAATGAGTTAGCTGCATTATGTTTGCAAGATAACTTATTAAATTACATTCTGACATGGTGGACAGTAAAATAAGTGACAGTGAAGCTCAGAGCAGATGTTTATACCTTATGCAGCTCATCAAATAGGAAGACTTCACTCTACAGGTGTCAAGGAAATAGAAAACTTAACATAGGATTTCTGTCTGGTTTAACAAGATAATTAAATAGATATTGAGGTTCAAAATTACATATACATTTTTAAATCTTTCAATTTCTTTCTACTGTAAATTGTTGAGATCTCAAAAGTGTAATTTTAGATTTAGGCACAACAAATGTTACAATGAAGAAATGTATTCCACTTAATAATTATACAGAACAAATTCGTTTACTAAGGAATTAGGAGGGATTTTATTAGCTATTAAATTAGTGACACAGTGAAGAATGGAAACTGCATTAGGTAGAAGTTATAAAATAGAAAATCACATTATAGTTTTGATAATGAAAATAAAATTAAGAGGTGCTGAAGGGACATATTAATTAAAACATTCCAAACATCCAGAGCACTGTCAGTGCATTCATGGGTGGGTGTTTGTTCTCCTTACGACAGTGTGGGTTTCTGAAGAAGAGTAGTTCGGGTTCCTGGGGGGTGGAGGTTATTGGAAGGATGCACAGAGAAGGCAAAGACACAGGAAGCCATCTCTGCACTGCAGCCAGCTCTCACAGAAAACAGGAAGTTATTTTAGGGCACAGCGGTTCTGGGGACCCGAAACTCTCTACCAGACTGACAGCATGGCCTGTCTTCTTCCCAGCTCTCAGCAGCTCCCCACAGCGGGCCGTGACCTGAGGCTGTCCCCACCCTTGTGTTTTGGCACCTCTGTGACCTTGACCTCGACCTTGACCTCCAACTCCAGTCTTCTTCTCTGACACTCTTCACTCATGCTTTCTTCCGGCTCCTTCTACTTTGGGGCTTCTGCTTACTGCCTTTTTTTGAACATATCGCTGCTTCTGGTGAAATCATGTGCATCTGTCTTAGATCAGTTTCTGCATAAGCAAACCTGGAGTTGTGGGGCCAACGCCATGGCTCACTTTGTTAATCCTCTGTCTGTGGCGCCAGCATCCCACATGGGTGCCGGTTCTAGGCCCAGCTGCTCCTCTTCCAGTCCAGCTCTCTGCTGTGGCCCGGGAAGGCAGTGGAGGATGGCCCAAGTGCTTGGGCCCTGCACCCCATGGGAGACCAGGAAGAAGCTCCTGGCTCCTGGCTTCGGATCAGCATAGCTCCGGCTGTGGCGGCCATTTGGGGGGTGAATCAACGGAAAGAAGACCTTCCTCTCTGTCTCTCTCTCTCTCTCTCACTGTCTATAACTCTACCTGTCAAATAAATTAATTAAAAAAAAAACCTGGAGTTGAGCTTTTGTGTGACTGCTAAGGTCACTCATCAGGGAAGTGTCCTCAGGACAAAAAACAGGAAGGGAACTAGAAAGTCAAGGAAGAGGAAGGAGCCACGCAGGGACAGCATCTCAGGGAAAGACCTCGGGGAGGCCCTGTCTCTAATCCCAGTGTGTC